ATGGATGGATGGATGTATGGATGTAAGCATCGCATAAACTGACCCAATACATTATTCTTTCTGCAGCCGCCGCCACACCAAGACTTGACAGCATACTTGGAGCTTCGGGGACTTGGAACTTAGGAATACCTTGAGAACCCAAAACCTACTTTTTTGTAGGGTCCCTATAAATCCCATATTAGGGTTTATAATAAGAAGCTACAAAAAAGTGGGTTTTGGGTTCTTAAGGTATAGCTGCCTAACACTCAAGTATGACCCAAGTAACTATACCTGGAGGGCGTATACTCGGCGGCAGAATTGCAGTATTACTTTGGCGGAGGTAGACCGAACTTGTTGTTTTCTGGCATTTGACCCAAACCTTAACCCTAAACCCTAAACCCCTCAACCCCTAAACCCCTAAACCCTTGACCCTGAAGAGGAGGGATGAAACTTGACTCAAAGCCCGGTTCGTGTAATAGAGGGGCCTTAGAACAACTACATATACAATTTCGGGTGGCTCCTTATCATAGTCAAAGTATATTATATCCAAAAACCCTGTTCTAGTTATTCAGGCCCTTATAGTAGAAGAAGTGTGGTGTGGCTTGTGCGGTTCAGCGATCCAAGATCTTACGGCCTTACAGTTTCGGTTTCGCGACAGACCTTTGCTCTCCCAGTGCACAGTCTGCAAACGGTGGGTTTAGGGTTTAGGGTTTAGGGTTTAGGGTTTAGGGTGGGGGGGGGTTCTTCTCAACTCATGACTAGTGTTTTGTTGCTGAATCGTACAAGAATGTTGGTATGATGTACCCCCCAAAAAAGCTGTATTCTAATCATTAAGGCCCCTATAGTAGAAGGCTTCTTTCCCAAATTCAAGACCCCACGCGCCAACTCCACATCCCCACCTATCACTGAAGGACGCGCACCCGCGAGACAAGCTTTCGTCGAGCCAGCAGGACAGCACACTTCAGAGAAATTTAACCGTGAATCCTGAGCCGAATTTGGGGCGAAAGTGTCATGATCAAGGGTCTTGAACCGTGAAATAGCCAGATGACATGATGTCTCAAGAGTTGTTCAGGGGGTTATGGGTAAGGTTTTTGTTTGGAATATTGCCTTGAGTCACCATGACTATAGGGGCTGGTCCTATTGACGCGGAATGTCCCAGCACCCTCAGCTCTAGGCTCAATGCGTTTCGGCGATTCCAGGTTTAGGGTTTATAAGGGTTTTGAGGGTTACCTAGCCTCTTTAAAAGACCCCAAATACCCACTACTGTTGATGGTAGAAATCCTGCATCACCTCAAGGACCCTAAACTAGAGGCACTTCTGGTATATTCCTTATTATGGGTAATGCAGGATTTATATCATCAACCGTATTAAAGACCATAACTGCTCTATTAAAGGGCCATTGGGGGGTCTCTTTCAGGGATCGGGGCTTTAGGGGTTCTAAGGGTTTAGGTTTCGGGGGTATTGGGATGCCAAGATGCCAAGGAGTTACGTCGAGGTGTCTAGCCTCGCGCAGTTCCTTGACCTTCCCATAGGGTCCATTTGGGTTTAGGGGTTTAGGATGTAGGGGTTTAGAGGTTTAGGGTTTAGGGGTTTAGGGTTTAGGGGTTTAGGGGTTTAGGGGTTTAGGGTTTAGGGCGACCGCTTGAACTTGATTCATCGACTTTAAACTTAAACACAACATGCCTAAACAGCTTAAGCACTGAACCTTCTTGAGCCTTAATGTTTCGTCCTGCACCAACGCACCACGAACCTGTAAACCCTTGACTCCCGAACCTAAAACCTTTTCTCCAAAGCCCTAATTAAGCCCTTAAGCTTTAGCTCCGAACCTCCAACCCCTATAAGCCCTAATTAAGCCCTTAACCCTTAGCTCCGAAACTCAAATCCCTAGATTCTCAAGTTCGGTACCTTGAAACAAGCGATCAGATCGGAGGATGCGAAGTCCGATGCGGGTGCTTCGCGCTTCCGCCGGAGCTTTGACTTGGGTGCGGGTCTCATCTGATTCTTCGAGGTCCCGTGTTTGTGGCATTGTCACTGGGTTACGCAAGCTGTTAGCTGTTAGTAGTGTTCATATAAACTTTCATGATCATTGCATACTGTTGAGTTGCAGTGTTATTTCGGTTGTTGTGTTGCTGGTTCTGCGGAGTGTCGAGAAGCCTCTTAAATCTCTTGTACGGCCTGTGTAACATCTGTTGCACCAGATGTGTGTGATGTGCATGTGACACAATGTGTACTTATATTGTGTGTGTATATATTTATGTGCACATGTACAGGCTGCCGAGCCCAGAAAGCAAACAAAGTCAAGAGATAAGCATCCGAGCTTACAGACAACGTTGAGCCTCCCTCGACGGATTCAGAAACAAACCCGATAACTCAGAACTGGATTCGAAAGGAATCTCGTCAGATCCCTATACCACCTTCTTCAAACACTTACAAACCCATTGAAAAACCCTAAACCCTAAACCCTAAACACCTAAACCCCTAAACCCGAACCCTAAACCCTAAACCCTAAACCCTAAACCCTAAACCCTAAACCCTAAACCCTAAACCCTAAAACGATCAAACCCGGATCCTTTCCGAAGTGCCGGGCCGAGGTTCGGATCCGGGCGTGGCTGGCCAGGTCCTGGACAAAGGCCAGCTTCCTCCTTAGGGTTTAGGGGTTTAGGGTTTAGGGGTTTAGGGTTTAGGGTTTAGGGTTTAGGGTTTAGGGTTTAGGGTTTAGGGTTTAGGGGTTTAGGGTTTAGGGGTTTGGGGTTTGTAGGGTTTAGGGTTTAGA